TTTTTTTTTTTTTTTTTTTTTTTTTTTTTTTTTATTATTGGGGGGTTTTTTTTTTTTTTTTTTTTTTTTTTTTTTTGAATATAATTCTCCCTCAGAGAAAAGAGGAGAGAGAGCTTAACCAGGTGTGCTTAAATAACAAGGTGTCAGGAAAATAATGGCAAAAGCCTGAAGCGTAAATCCTTGTGGCTCCCTGATGATAAGTTTGTAATGTTATCGATAGATGTCTCTGTGATTGGGTATTTTTCAGTGAGGGGTCAGATTATATCAGACATATTTGAAAGATATCAGGTTGAATAATCCTGAGAAAAGAAATAATGTCTTGGAGCAAAGGGGATGGTTGACTTTATACCTGCATGAATCATATCCCACTTTAGTAGGAAACGAAAAGAATAGATTAGGTAAATTGAGGGAGGAGGAGGTGGATTCCCTATGTTTTTTGGAATAAAACCAAATGATTTAACAACTTTGATATGTAAATCTGTCTTACACATAAAGATTGATCATTTTACACACAATGTGTTGATCTCATATTTCTAGGAAAAAAATGGGTTAAAAGCGTAGTGTATTTAGCTTACTACATCTTAGTAGTGAGATTAACAATGGTAAAATAAAAGGTAAAGTGACAGAAAAACCCACACTAAAGACTAACACAATATAGGCACTTTTGTTTTAATGGAAAATATTTATCTGGTAAAATAACAAAGGGACACATCAGTATTTAATAGCACAACATTATTCTTGACTGTCTAAAGGTAAAACACCTCAGAATCTGTCACTGGATATGTATACACTAAAGAGTGTAATTTGCCTGTGTCCATATGCATGACCAGAACCTTACTTTCTAGTTCCTGAGAAACAGAAAAATAGGAGCACTATTTTATTCCAGACTTTTTTTCACACTTTACTTTTCTGAAGTAGTGTCTTTCATACTACTACAGAGTATAGAGAGTCTCATGTAAACTCATTTGAGGCACCTTCATCCAGGTGACTCCCAACATCTAGGTAAACTCCTGTTTGCATCCAGGAATGTAAACAGACTGTCTGCAATAGGAAGTTTAGAGCATCTAAGCTGGACACTTAACACAGGATGCCTATAGGGTGCATTGAAGTGTGGCTATGACAACAAATCTGTTGTGTAGGTGTATTATCTAAATGCTTCTGTTAATTTTCCTATTGAAATAATATCTATTATTACAGGCAATTGTGTCTACTCACTGAAGTCATGCGCCTGACAGATTTTACATCTGAATTCTTCTTAGATTGCAAGGCATCTTTCCACAGGAAAATCAGAATGTTTTAGGAAAAATAAATAAACAACAACAAAAAAAATCCCACAAATCCTATTGCCTTGAGGAGCAATGCCACCAGCAGTCAAGGGAGAGATGGTGATTGCAGCCCAGTGTGAGGCAGTGCTGCCTCAGAGCACTGCAGTGCTCCAAGGGACCACAAGGCCTCAGGGACTGCAAATTCTGGCCCATTGGGACAGAAGGACTTYGGGGACATTAGGGCCCTGGGGATGACAGACTCACAGGAACATAATGAGAATTTCTGTGCAACACTGGTTATACAGGCGGTTTGTACATTTGTCATTCAGGAAAAATTAAGCAGCATGGTAATCTCTCCACAACACACAGAGCAACCCACCAAGCTTTTAGATGTGTCCTTTACCATCTCAAATATTTTCTACTCTAGTTAAACTGAAGATGACAACAGTACTGAGGCAAATACTGTCAGGACAAATTCCTACACACCTCTTGACTTTAAACAAAGATGTCAGCAGTGATTTTACTTGCTGCAGATTTTGGGGATGCTCATGTTAAGATGTCTTCTTTAAAGACCAAGTCAACAGCAATATAGCCTGTAGCAGTATATGATGGTTCAACAAACRATGAGAAGCTCTCATAATATGCCTTTTCTTTTTAATGGGATTGATCTGAAAGGACAGTAGGTGTTATGGAAGTGAGAACTGTCATTGCCTCAGGAACGGAAGTCTACTTTTTGATACATTTGAAGATCTCACTGTCTTAGCAGTGGGTTGAGGGATATAAGTGGACAGGAAAGTATCTGAGCTGGGAGGGAAACTCTAGGCTTGAACTAAGTGTTGTTGCTGTTTGAGAGCTTTACTCCAGAAACACACCACAGCATGTGATTCAAAGGTTTTTCTTCTCAGAGGTAGGCAAGATTTTTTTTCATGTAAATAACAACAACAGYTACAGCAAAACTTTACCAGGCAACTGTTATTGCCATTATGACTTGGACAGCCTAAGGCTACCCGTGACTATAGTACAGTCCCTTATTTTGTAGAAAACTACTCAGGATGGTGAGCATTCCCCAAGCCCCTCCAGAACTCAGTCCTGTGTCTTCAGAGCAATTTCTGTCACTTTTAGTTTTGGCAGCCTAATGGGAAGACTACTTTATGAAAATTGCTAGGGACAGACATAGTAAGAAAAAACCAAAGTGCTATTGTTAGTGTACTTGCAGTCCTGGCATTTTATGTTTTCTGACCATAATATAGAAGTAGAAATCAGAGGTACAGTCCCCTGTAGAAAAAAAAGATTTTAATTTATAACAGATGTAGAGTTGGCTGAGGTCAGTTCAGAACCTAGCATACCATTGTAGACATCCTCACTCAAGAAACAGGCTTGAAAATCATAGAATAGAATCATAGAATCATTATGATTGGAAAAAACCTTCAATATCACCAAGTCCAACCATAAGCCCCTCAACATCATGCCTACTAAACCATATCCCTAAGTGCCTCATCTACATGTTTCCTGAACACTGCCAAGAATGGTGACGCCACCTGGGAAGCCTGTTCCAGTTCTTGACTGCTCTTTCAATGTAGACATTTTTCCTAATATCCTATCCTATCCTTGTCCTATCAGTAGTTATTCTGGGGAAGAGATTGAACCCCACTCACTACAACCTCCTTTCAGGTAGTTGTAGAGAGCAGTAATGTCACCCCTGAGCCTCCTCTTCTCCAGACTAAATAATCCATCTCTCTCAGCTGCTCCTCGTAAGATGTGCCCTCCAACACCTTTACCAGCTTCCTTGCCATTCTTTGCACACACAAAGAAATGAAGAGTAATTAAATAAAAAGGTGGAAAAACTGTATCTGAAGACAGACTGCAGAACATTTTTCTCTCTTCCATATCTATTTTATCATTCTAAATTTCTTTTTTGGATGAATAAAGGGGCAGGTTCTGCTTATGAGCATCTCTATGTGAAATTTGCCTCTTCCATGTTGTCCAGGAAAAGCAATCTCRCCCTAGTCCTTCCAGATTTAATGTTCTGTGCATTTTCTTCTTTGATAGAAAGCTAATTTTGATTTTAGCACAAATCTTTCCATTTGTAAACAGATGATGAACTTCTTTTGGATGCCAAGGCTATTTTGATCCTTCAGCCTTCTTCTACAAAAACACATTTTTTTTTTATTTTTTTTTCCTCTCTTTCAGACTTTTTAATCCAATGTTTGTTAGGCATGTTGAGGTATTTTAATGACTCTGATTACAAGTTGCTGGTACAACGTCCCTTCCAACAGTCACCAAATAACCAACACTTGTTAGTAGAGATGAGGAATTAATCATCGTGCATTAGGATAATTTCCTCTTCTTTTTCTTTATTTCCACCTATGTCTTATATAAAACAGTATCCTAATTAGTCTTCAGCAAAGAATAGTTCCATTTYGCTCATTAAAACAACAAAGTGATACAGAAATTTCTGTCCACTGACTAGTTCAGCTGGTTAATAAATTCATTCAGTCTATTTGCAGTCTTTGAAATTGAGGATATAGTGGATTCCGTAGAATGGGTTGCTGTAAGGTTTCCAGCAAATAATCTGCAGGAAGCATACATTGCAACTCTCAGTCTGTGACATGTGCAACAAATATTGCACATCTCTTTCTAAATTGCCTGCTTTTTTTAAATTGATTTTATTGGCTTTCCAAGACTTTCTATATGTATAAGGTAAAATGCCAATAAGCCAATTCTATGTTCAATAAATAGAAAAAAAAAATGCTTTCTTTTCCTCAGAATATAGGTTAATATCATTAGTTTAAATCTCTGTCCATCTTGACTTTAGACCTTGAAAATGTTAGCATTAGAATTAGAATAGAGTTCAGAAAAATGAATTGCTTTTACATGTGTGGATTCTGCGCTATGTATAGTCACCTCTCCAGCAAATTTCACTCAGAAATACTTATATAGTGTATATAAGCAGAAACGGTCTGCTTAATGTAGATCATTAATAATAATGGTCTGCCTAATGATATTCCTGGGGAGCAGACAGGAATGAACACAGGCCTAATGCAAACCCTACTGAAGTCACCAGGAACCCTTCCACTGTTACACTGCAGCTTTATGGGCTATGTGCAATGGCAGCATAGAAAACAGAGACAACTACACACTCTGCTACATTTACAGAGGGATTAAAAGACAGAAATACACACAGACAAGCAGAGGCAGGACAGAGCTGCCCTGGTACTTGTTACCTTCTGCAGAGACTCACGCTAAAGGGGTGTTGGGTAAGTAACAGCTGCTCATACTTTTAACACAAGCATAGCCAATTTGTATGAATTTGGAGGAATTTCTTCATTTTTGTTGGACCTGCTGTTCCAAATAAGGAACAGCACCCTGCCTCCTAACTATCCTAGGAAAGACTGTTATCTAAATGTTTTCACAGAGTCCTCTTAACCTTGAGCACACACAATGGCATGCACACATACACAAACACAAAAGCAAAGMAATTATTCATGTGGTTCCCAAATGATGGCAGGAATACAAGATAAATTAAAAAAATAAACCACGGGAATACCATAATCCAGGTATAATCTACCCCAGTRACATCAACTGCTCAAAAAAGCCTGTGAGAAGAGGATTCAGCATATGAGGAATGTGAAAGGTTGAAAAATGGTGCATGGTGTCTCTTGCTTCATGATTTCATGGTTTTCAGTGTCAGCTGTTGTTCCTCTGAAGTACTCTTCTTTTCCTTTGCAGAGTTTCTTACTGATACATCTATACTTTGCTTTTCTTACCATGAAGGTCTCAGTCATTGCAACCCTTTTTGGTAAGTACACCTGATTTGCTATATTTATACTAGTTGGAGTGAAGCTAGGCCAAGGATTCCTGGAAAGCAACAATATCACTTTAAGATTATGAGTCTGCATGCTACACGCTTGGGAAACACTGGTTCTCTGTTTTGCTCTGATTTATCCAAGAATACAGGGCTTTCAATGACCAARGAAGATTGATTGCAATAAGCCAAGCATGATTTCTTCATGTACTTTACTTATGTATCTCTCTTGGACAGAGATAGARTCATCATGTAACCTAGCTGTGCTGTCTGGCTTTCATTTCAATGTTCCCATACAATATTCCCTCTAGCTGAAACCCTCAAAACTTGCAGGAGATTGACATTTAACTTTATAGCTAACCATAYAGTTCTTCTCTCCTTGCTACAAAAGGCAAATCATTTTATCTGAATAAAATTATTATGCCCTAACATTGTATTCAGCCAAGACATTTACCTTCTTTTGTACTGTCTCTCTTTTCTCTTCTTAAACTAAAAGTTATCCTTGGTAACACAATTATGCCAATGAGAAAAGGCCCCGGTGGTACATCTACACATTCTCACTTCAGTTTCTCTTCTTTCTTTTGAGCAAGTTCTACGAGTTATTAAGTCTGGAAACTCTCTGAAATCAGTCTGTGGGAGAAAAGCAAAGAAAGAAATACAATTGCTATCACATATTTTAGTAAGATTAACCTAACAATTCTTCAGAGAATCAAACAACACATCATAAAGCGTTTTAATTCCTTCTGAAAGGTCAGACCAGGGAAGGGTAAATAGGAAGGTGAAAATATTTGCAAGGTTATTACCCATAATATATTGCTTATAAGATAAGCACACAGAATGAAGAGTTTTAGTGTGTCATACATTTCTCAGGTAAACCTGACAAGATAAACTGCATACAGAGAGAGAAAGAGAGAGAGATGTTTTAACCTGTGCGTTTCATTCCTGCCATTACAGTTTTCAAATCATAATTAGGCTTACTGAAGGAAACAGTGCCCTTACTGCAACATGCCACACTGCACACAGCCCAGAGCCCATACAGCCCACACAGCCCATAATGCTGTCTGGTAGCCCATAAAGGCTACCACCAGAGACCAATGAATGAAATTACACATTGCACTATGAAGGACACCTCACAAAGGCTGTTAAGAAGACGTTTTCTCTCCATAACTTCCCAAGTGTTTTATGCACACAGAATTTTGCATATCCTTAGTATCTCTGTCTCACTAACTATAAAGTATTTTCATTACTTATGAAAATATTTGGATCTTTCATGATTTTCTTGACTATGTGTACTCAACAGTGTCTTTTGACAGCGAGTTCCGCAAACTGACATGTGATTGATTTTTAATCCTTTTGAAAAATACTCAAGTATAATAGACATCATCTTGTTTGCAAAGTTCAGAAAAATAATTGTGACTTAGAATATTTCCATCTCATTTCTTTAGCCAGTTGAGTCAAACTTATGAAATCCCATATACAGGAAATTGTGGTGACCAATGCTGCTGTCCACCATTTTCCTCATACTATTTTTTCTTTGTTTTAGGTATATTTCTTACATATACATATGCAACTAAGGAAGCAATGAAGAAGACTAAAAAGACTAAGCTATGTAAGTGGTCCCAGTAGCATGTTTGGTTGCTTTACAGAAGTCAAGTCTGGTGTAGAAAAAGTCCAAAATGAAGTTATATTTTGGTAACCCTTTACAATTCTCTGTAGACACAGTGGGAACATATATTAACTAACACATACTGTTAGTGAAGTCACATTACTGAGTAAAATATGTACTACTAAATATATGTGAACAATATATCACATGTTTCTCTCTTAAGATATGTATCCATGGACAACCAGGAACTGTACAAGGATCATAGTACTAAGGCTGCAAAGAGACGTAACTATGTGAAATGAAGGTGCTGCAATATGAAGACATCTAGTTAGCTAGCATAAAAGAGGTGAAATATGTCCTATGTGCAGGCCTCTATAACTTTAAGCTCTGCTCCCAGAGAAACAAACATTCAAGGTCAAAAATGTCCACAGACTTTTCTGTTCCTCATGAGTTACAGCCACCTCCCTCAGCRTAGTGGTTATGAAGATGCATAACACGTAGGCATTGCTTGCATCCCTATAGTGTTTGTGTAAGCATAGGAGAGCAAAACTTCCCTGTCACCCAGCTCATGCATTTCATAACAAGRAATCATTCAATCTGACTCTCCAAAGATTTTGTGCTCACAGATGTACCCCAGATCGACTGTGACATCAAGGCGGGGAAGATCATCAATCCAGAATTCATTGCAAAATGCCCTCCCGGATGTCAAGATATCAAATACCGTGTTTATGGCACAGACATTTATGCTTCTTTTTCCAGTGTGTGTAGTGCTGCAATCCACAGGTGAGTGAGTTTAAATGAGCCAGATGTTCAGATAGAATCATTATTTCAGTGTAGGGAACTCTTGTTTTTTTCAGATTCTTTGCAGTTGCCAGTGCCTTGCAGGTTTGATTGCAAGCTGCTGCTCTAGTAGAAAACACATGAGAAAGACTACCATATTATGATTCAAATCATAAAATGCTATCAATCCTGCATCCCAAATGAAATCAGTCATGTCTAAAGATGCTTCACAATATTAGGAATGTCCTGAGATCTGCAGATCTCCCATTTTTGYATAGCAAATGACTGTTCTTGCACTATAATTATTTGAATGGAAGAGAGGGACAAGTTGTGCAAGCAYTGGCATTCTTGGCACCAAGAATTGGCACCAATGATGAAAATATGCAATTCACATAGTTCCGGGATTAGCTGGATGCCCAGGGCTCAATTTAATCATCCTCAACACCAAATGCTGAGTAATAGTCTACGGGAAAGGATGCTACAGTAAAGGACCGCAGGAAAGGAGAAGGATGCACAGAACATGTTTTGCAAAGTTTTGTTTGCCATGTCAAAATGTGCAGAAATCTTAAATGGAGAATAACTTGGCATCAACAACACAACAATTGTAGACTGGATGCAAAGACCATAAGATCCAAGTGAAAACGCAGTGAGAACTCGTAGTCTGACTGGCATTTTGACTTCATTTTGAGCACCACTGTGGTGCTTCTAGTTCTGTGAAATAATGAGTAGCTGAAACTTAGGCACTTTGTACTGTATTTGAAAAGCAATTTCCCTTAACAGTGTGTTAGGGACCTGGAGCAGCAGTGATGGAGAAAGGAAAAGAGTTTTGTAAACTTAGGTGACACCAGCAGCATCAGTGCTGGGATCTTCTCTCTTCTCCCTCTCTTCTCAGTCCCACCCTGTGAATTGCTCTTGTTATGTAATAAGCTGTTCCTGTATGAGCTGCTGAGATCAAAGCAAAGCTTTTGGCTGCTCTGTGAAGCTCTCAGCAACCCACTCTGTGGATAGATATGTCTGTGCGATACCGCTGCCATCTCCTGGCTGCCACCAGGCGTGCTCAGCTCTTGGCTGAGGAAACGACTGTCAGGTGGCTGGCAGACAACCAGTCCATTCTTCCCTGAGAGAGCTGCACACATGGAACCGTGTGAATGCCCCTGCTAGCAGAGCTGGCCCCAAGTCACAGCCTTCATTCAAAATGATGACAGTGAATACCCACAGTTCAAATGCTGGCTGTCTGTGTTTTGGGGGTAGAACATCTCTATTTTCTTTGTTTGCACTTTTAGCTTATATGTTGTATTCCCATAATCAGTGAATTCCCTTTCCTTGCAATTATTTTACCAACAGCATCTTGCAATCACAAGAGAAGTCTACATCTCTAGCATATTCTTCATCACTTTTTGCTGTTCATTTCTTATTTTCCAGCACTGTGTAATTTTTGTCAATTGTATTATCCCTTTATAGTAGCATCTTGGTTTCCATACTCACCTAGTAATGTAATGGCCAGGTTTCATACACTGAAAGTTTTTTGTTTGTATTGAGATATGTATCGCAACATATGATGCACAGCATTTAGTGTGTACCACACACACAGCGTGTCAGCTTTCAGTAACATCTTGTTGAATTTGCTCCAGACTGGAATCAAAAGCAATCTATATTTTCTGCTAAATTTTTCAGTACATATACTGGAATTTGAAGAAAACTTCATTTTTTTACAAAAAAAAAAAATGAGGACAGGGAGGTATGTCTCATATTGTCTAGTTATTTCTGCTGCATGGTTGGCTCTAAGACTCCTCTGACTACATTTCCATGAATCTTCAGGAGTTCAATAAATCTTGTAGGGATTTTAATGAAGACAGAAACATGTTCTCTGCAATTAGGTCAAATTCAAACACAGAGCTAGGAAATGGGAAAAGCAGATAGACCTAGAAGGCGCTTTATAACAAATTGATTTTCTCTATATTGAAGAAGTATAAATATTTATCAACAGCAAATCTAGCTGCCTCTTCCTTGTTTTGTTATAACACCTGGTTTAAAGAAAATAAAGAGGTGTAGACATCCTACCCCCTGCACTGTTGAACGGTTTCTATGTTTCTTGGGAGAATTTCCTGCTTTGGATACCATGTTTCCCCCTTGCAGCGGCATAATTGACAACGCAGGTGGGAAGATCCTCGTCCAGAAGGTTGCCGGCCATTCTGGGTACAGAGGGAGCTTCTCAAACGGGGTCCGATCCCTGTCGCTGCCACGCTGGAGGGAGTCCTTCCTTGTTGCAGGTACTGCRGAAACGCGCCAGGGCCCAACCAGGCTGCCCAAAGCCATGAAATGTGAGAGTCGGGATCAGGCAGCGGGGACAGGGCAGTGTCACTGTGAAGCTTTTCCATATATTTAGGCTTTCCAGCAAAGGCAGGTTTCCAAGATTTCTTCCACTAATACAGTATTGCATTTTCACTACCATTAGTGGCTACAGTGACCCAGGTTCTCCAGGTTCCTTGTAGTTTATTTATATGCCTACACATTTTAAACTAAAAGCTTACCACCCATCTCAATCCGTAGACAGCCATGAATTATTTATGCAGAATCCTATATTAATCAATAATACTGATGAAACCCAAATATGCTGCTGGTTCTCTTCATCTCCATTAGCCAAATTGTTTCAGCATCCCCTGATTTCCAGGGAAATCCACTTCAATACTAACTCTTTTTTCTCCACATAGTGTACAGCAGAACCTTGGATTCACTAAAGAAATTCACTARATTTTGGAAATTAGATCCCCTTTCTACCAACTTTAGATTTTCCTATTTGCCACCATCCTGCCCATGTGAAGTAGGGTATAGATTGCATTGCTTTATCCACTATTTCTAAATCTAACTTCTTGCAGCATCCATACATGTGGTCCTAACTTCTCCTGAGGATTTAGGATAGGTATGACCAGCTAATATTAGTTAACTACATCACTTCTGGAAAAATCAACAGTTGAAGCAACCAAATAGCYACTAAAAATAAAGAAATGCTCTTTTCATGTGAAAATTTGTGAATAGCAAAGGAGCTCTCAGAAAGTGACAAAAGTGAGCTGCCATCTGGGATCTGTATTAATATATTTGGGTGCACCTTTTTACAGCATTCTGCCATGGGTAGACCGCATTATGAGAGGGATTTATTTTGGATGAGTAGGAATTTCCTGGAACAGCTGAATTGCTACTTGTACTTGTTGCTGTTTTTTTTTTCCCAACAAACAGCACATTGTACATAAATGGGAAATAAAAATTTTACCTCGGTAGCTGTTCATTTGCTGTCTCATGAAACTGCAGGAATTTGGGATTTATAGTAGCAAATCTTTATTCTTGATTAGTTAACAAAAGAAGAGATGGAGGAAAGTTACAAACACATGTAAGATGAGGTGAAGAATCAGGGTATACAAAGGCATGATGACATTTCTCCCTTGTAAACTTAATTTTCTCATGTTGAGTGGTCCCAACGAAGCCAGTGGAATGACTCAGTTTATAAACTGGTTCAAGCATTAAAGTAAATATAATTTATAACATATTGGTAGGCAGGAAATCCTCATGGTCTCTTCTTAAAGTGTGAGTTTCTGTGTGGGACATTTAGAAGAATGAAAACCATGGATCCAGTGCTGTTCATCTCATTAGCCTGAGGATGAAGGAAAACAGACCTGATTCTCAAAAGGAGAAAAGTCTTTTTTTTTATATATATAACAATTATGAGTCAAAGGATTCCCAATAAAAATACAAGGTCATCCAAAGCATTAATTTCAGGACAGCTTTTGAGCTTTAACTGAATCACCTGTTCTCCAGCCTATCAAAAACATATGATAATATATCCTGGAAAAGTGCTGACAGTTTATTCCTAGTTGGAATATTGTCACACGGAGTTTGTGATATTTAAATTGTGAATAAGCATCCAAACAAAAGGGCACTGAAGAGGAATCCCTCGGGGAGCCAGGCGATGAAGTGGCATGATTTAGGAGCAGCGGGGGACAGGCCTGTCCCCGGGGATTAAAGCAGGGAGCACACCAGGAGGTATGCAAATGGCCTGGGATTCGCTTTCAAGCCCTGAAATGCCTTGGCACTCAGCTGAATGACTCCTTTCAGTGTAGTGGGAGTTTTGCAGCTCCTGGGTTAAGAAAATAGAGTCCTAAACCTYCGGGTTTGCTCCTGACAAATAAGCTTGAGAGGGTGAGCAGCCACCAGCTCATTGCTTGTACTTCAAGCAGGCAGAAGGTGAGGTTTTCAACCCATATGCAGTCCATCTTTAGGTACATTAGGGAAAGCTGGCCTAGATGCAGCTTTTTCCAGATAATTCATCAATAGAAAGGACCTATTGCTGTTGCTCCAGAAAGCAGGGCCACGCTCAGGCCATGCTCAGACATACCTCTGGACCACACATAGGATCCAAGCTGCTGTTAATCAAAAGTCCCAGAGTGAAGCTCAAATTTGCTCACTGAGCACAGAGAGATTCTAAATTAAAATCTGATTATTAGATTATTGCTACATCCGTGTAACTACCTTGTACATCTGACAGTTCTACCTCTGTCAGGGATCCAGAAATGCTCTTAGTAATTACGTGTTATCTAGTAACTTATCCAGTTTCCTACCACACTGGCAGAAAGGCTCTCCAAGATTCAGTCTCTAGATTGATGACCTAAGATGACAGCTGTCACGCTTAGAGTGACATATACACAGACCTAAAAGATTATGCTGTGGGAATAAAGGAAAGTAAACAGCACCACAACTCAGGGCTTTCAGGAGCTGGAGAGAGAGGTAGGTCTAACCTGAACTAGCACAGATGCAACCATGCAGCATCTCATAAGAGCCGATTGGGTCCAGAAGTCCCATGTCCAAACTCCCACAGACACARCTTCTAGAGGACAGGGTGGCCTTTAGTTCCTTGGGCTTTGCTGCATTTTTCATTCACTGGTGTAGATATCTCTTTGGATTATCAGAACTGCCCCTTGAGTTGGAACTGCATGGCTGCACATGCCAATGGAAATGGCATGTGAGACRGCACTGAAAGGTTTGTGGTTTCGAGCTTAACTGGGAAACATAGCTCATTGTTTTAGGACAGGACCTTCATTTTAGGTCTAAATATAGCTATCATATGTTCCCACACACAAACACAGGCTTCTCTCACTGTTATTATTGCGAAAGGCTGTTGCCAGAAATGGCATATCACAAAAGTGAGGTTAGAAAAGAATGCTGTGTGCCTGAAGAAAGGAATCCCACATCAAACATGCTTTCCAACTCTACTGGATAGTCGGGCACTGCAAAAGGCTACCTAGGACGGCTGTGGGTTTAAGTACAGGTTATACAAGAGTTGTTATACTTAACACTGCCCAAAAGCAAAACAATGAACTAGCTAGCCTCTTCAAAATGCTCCCAGGTTTGCATTTTTATGTCTTTTTTATTTTTTTAATGATGTTCAGTTTAGGTATTGGTATTTTTACTGGAATGGCTCTGACATTCTACCATGAGATCAAAGAATTTTAAAGAGAACAAGTTGGGTGGTAGAGAAACAAGGTCTGATTCCGCACCTATATGTTATATGGGAGTTTTGGTGTACAAAAACTTTAAATTCTTCAAATACCAAGCATGCATTTGCCTGTTGTTTTGTGCACTCCTAAGCTATTTGGAGTATTTGCCTCTGTTCTGTGACCATAGCTTTACTTTGTGATATCTTTTAATGACTTTTTGTAGAGGGCAAGCCAAGGAAAGGCGTGACGTACCCGTCAACTCTTGAATATTCTTCTTCAAAAAGCACAGTTGTTAAATCAGGCAAGTGTTTTTGACTGACTTTCCCTTAAATCAGTTCATATTTATCTGTTGTAGTGTCTCAGTTGTRTAACACAAAGGTTTGATTGTTCAAAGCCTAAAATTAATGCATCTCTTTTGCTCATCAGCATTAATGTCTCATCCAAATCCCTGTTCATAGTTCTTATGTTAAATATATTAAAATAATGCCAGAATACTTCTGGTTTTCTTCTATTTTTTTCTACAGAATGTCTGTTCTCAAAGTAGTTTCCCCTTGCTTTAAATCTCTTTGAAAGCATGATATTTTATTAGTTATATGAAATCATTAGATATTTTTACATGTTGACTTTCTCTTAATGATTTTCTCTTGGGATGATAATGTGGGGAGTATAATAATATATAATGACATTTAGAATATTAATGACAGCAATTTACATCAGCCTTAGGTAAGGATAAGGACCAACTTTCTTTTAGCTTGTATCCTACTCTATTAAACTGAACTCAGTTTAAAAAAATTTCATTGTTTTGAAAGGTCTTTGATCAAAGTTTTACACCAAGCAGTAGTTGATATTCAAGTGTACATGKTGTCTCCATCACTGAAATACCACTTGTTGGTTATTCCTGTACTAACGGCATGACGTCCAGAATCTTCTTTGAAATGAAATGAAATGAAAAAAAATTAATGTCTTATAGACCATAATTCCCTATTAGCAGTTCCCATGGCCCTTTTGCTGAGCCTTTGCTGAGCCTGAATGTTACTGAGCTGATCAGCCAAGAACTGTGGTATAATGAGAGGTGCTGTAGCTTATCCATGCACTCTTGGGTGCACTTGCCCCTGGATGTCTCCATCTAAAGGTTGTGCTTGGATAACTTGGAATCTGTGCTATTCATCTCTTCATTATTGTTTACTACCGATGGAGGTAAATTACAAAGATTTCTCCTCATCTTTACACTTTTACTTGCTCAAAGGCACCTTTACATCTGAACACTGTAGTTGTTTAGACTGCAAATGCATCACTCAAATACACACTGCTGGCTTGCAGTACCTTTGCATACAGTCTAATTAGGACAGATTCATAAAGGCTCCTTGAGTAGGCACTCGGAAATCACTGACATGAATACTAAGCTCCTCTACAAGGGATGGAGGGTCATATCTTGGAAATTTTGTCTTTTTCTTTTCCAGGAAAATCTCACTAAAAACAGATGCYTTCATTCGTAAAGGTGCCCACACTTCTTTAAGTATCAGCCCAAGTGTATCACAGCAAATCAGGAACTATCAGAGCCAAGCTAGTGCTCAGCCATCTGCAAGCAATGATTTCTTCAAAGTGCTAAAACCCACACTACAAGAGAAGTAGACTTCTCTTGTAGTGTAGTAGAAGTAGAGTAGGACTGGGGAGCATTCTCAAATCACATCTCAGTTATACAAAGTATCCAAAGACTGTGCCTGCAGCAACCCRAAGATGCCAATAACTTCCTTCATTTTGTTCTTGAATGAAATAGTATGAATGAAAATGTTAGGATCCTAGCAACAAAAACTGTGCATTCATGCCATGAAAATCCAAGATTACTGTAGGAACAGATAATATCTGTTTTGTCAAATGCAGCTCTTGAGAACTCCTCAGCCCTGTCTTAGAAGCAGCAAAGAGCCCAGACTAGAATCAACCTCCTCCTGAGACCTCCTTGCCCTCAYGGTCTCAGCCCATCTCTCCCAGCCCCATTGTGCTAGAAACTGCCTGCTCTGCAGTGTGGTGCTAGAGCCATCTTGTGATAGAGGATTTCCTTTTTTTATTATTTTTAATTAGAAAAGCTGCTTTTTAAATTCTGATTTAAGTTTTAGAGACCTCATTACACAGCTGGATACTTAAACCTGTTATCTSCAGGAGCTAAAGTGAGTCCTTTGAGGATTACACTCAGTCACTACCAGATTAGTGGAAAATCTTGCTTCACATCTGATCAGCTGTCAGAGATGCAATTTTGGTCCTGGTCCTCAGGGCGCTGGAGATTCATAGTACCTGACATTTCTTTAAATATTGCTGATGGTTACAGTGCTCTCCAAACACTAGGTATAGCAAAAAAACCTTCCCAGAATTACARCTATTCACAGTGGTAAAAACAACCAACAACTGCTCTTTAAAAAAAAAATCCAAATTAATAGGAAACTATTAACCCTGAAGTAATTTCTAAACTAGGTCAATGCTGCCAAAATAGCTAGAGAAGAGAAAAAAAATTAAGAACAAACCCCCTCAGTGCTCAGCCAGATCTAAAAGCATAGGCAAACTCCATTACAGGGTAGAGATAACTGAACTGTAATAAACAAAATTCCAAATACTTTGTTGACTCTGAGTCTTAGAAGAAGAAAAAGATGAAGAAGAATCTTTTCCTCTAAGCCAGTGCACTGAATTCAGCATTTGGCTCCATGTTGATTTGACAGTGTTAGACAAGAAAGAACTGCATCTGCATGTGAATTAGCTGCTGAAAAATCACATGCCAGCTAATATTCACCAACACCCACCCTGCACACACTGTGACCCTGATTCTCAGGACACTGCTACTCAAAAGAAAAAYCTGCCACACGCTGTATTAATCTTATGCGTTTGAGTATATCAGAACACAAAATCACATGTTTAATATTCATTTCTGAAGTTCTGTTGACACTGACAGGAGCTTTGGAGCAGGTACTGCCTAATTCAGACATTGAAAGTAGGGGGTGACGGTTATTTAGAGGCAACCATCACTTTTTCTCATCCGTTGAGAAAGCTCTGATGAGCCTGACTAGCCCTTCCAAGCTAGGCAGTGGGATGTCTCCATTTGAGGACTGATAATCTCTAACTTGCAGACGTGAAGTCATTTTCTCTGAAAGTTGCACTTACTAATGTGCTTAATTTCGCTTTAGAGCCTAAAAAGTCAGAGCAAGACATAAAAGCTATGAAGAATGCCAGCACCTCGAACACTTCAGAAAAAGCATCAGAACAAGGTATGGATTGAGGATCCGGATGCTGCTTTCCAAAGTCCCTCTCAGGCTAAGCTACCCTCAAATAGTTACAGGAATATATATGAGGCRGTTTCAGGTAATGCATACATTATGTATACAGGTAATGCATACAGCTCTACTGCCCCAAAGGAGGTCCTGGAACCTACACTCATGAGCAGGTGACAATTTGGAGAAAAGAGAGCCCTCTTCCAGCACAGCTTCTGCCTGTGTTCTGCATGTGTCAAGGCCTTGGAGAGCCTTCATTACAGCTCTCAGCTATTTCCTACACAGGAAATGTGCCCTGCAAACTCCGCTAGATGCTGCGATGGAGCTGGACATCCTGCCTGCTGGAGCACTGGGAAGGACCAGCCCTCCTAAGCACTCCTGTTGCCCTAAAGGCTCTGCCGGAGTCCCAGGCAGCACACGCCAAGGCATCATCTTATCCCTGCTTTGTTTAATGATATTTCCTCATTCCTGTTTTTTTTTTTTTTTTTTCCCCATGCTTAGCTCCATCTTATCCCTGCTTTGTTTAATGGTATTTCCTCATTCCCGATCTTTTTTCCCATGCTTAGCTCCATGCTTTTTTGCACCTCTTGCAGCCTAGGTATAGAGAGCACAGATACMCATGCTCCCTGTTTCTGCAGCACCAACTGCATGGGAAGAATCACTGTGCCCTCTGTTTCCTTCATTTTAGTGCAAGGCACAGTTCAGCCCAAAGAGAGCCATTCAGAATGATTTTTTTCAGCTGAGTTGTTTTGCTTTGCATCCAACCCCTCTTTCAGCATTATCCCATTAAAACTGCCTGAGATCTGAATTTTTCGCTGGGTAGCATTAGACAGTAATTAATCCACTGGACAGTTTCATGATGATGCTTTCCAAAAGGAGAGCATCCAAGAAGAAAATACAGGCTTGTGCTGTGTAGCAATGAATAAAGTGCATAAAGACACACCATTCCCTTTCAGCATACACAGTTTGTCAGGCTGTCAGGCCGTGCCTGGGGATATGGATGGAGAGGAAAAGAACAAGACCGAGGTGAACATAGCATATATTTTAGGGCAGTTTTTCTGTGGATAGATGGATAAGATAGTGAAAGCTTTTTTTTTCCCCCTTAAGATGATGATGCAAAATAAAAGTAAGCGTATAAGCATATGACCAATTTTGCATAAGGATCTTTACGATGTGCATCTTTGCAACTAGAGTTGCTGCTTCCTGTCAAGACTCAAAGTTAGAATGAAATTGCTCCCCAAAGGTTTTCCTCTCCCCTGTCACCATAGCCAGAGCCACAGTGCTCTCTCTTCTGGTTCGGATCCACTCCCTGCATCATTATTTTCCAAAAGTTTTCTTTTGTTTAAAAGCATTTCAGTGCAGTGGTAGGTGGTTCATATCTTTTATTCCACTCTTTGATTCAGAAATTGCCATCTTTTATTATCAGATGTCATCTGATTTCCATTTATATGGATTTTCTCACTGCCTAATTACACCGAGAAACGATGACAACAAAAGAGAAACTGCGAGTGCAACTCCCTGCTTGAACTAATCCATAGCTCTGAGACAGCTGTCAAGTTTATGGGCTCTCTGTCCAAGGCAGAGAAAGGGCAGGGGGAACATTAATGTTTTGGGAGGTCTCTGGCAGCTCTCTCCAGAGAGCCGTGCAGTCCTGCGTCACACAGGCACCCGCGTCACATATCCACACATATCATTAGTGGATCCAAAGGTGATGAAGCCTGTAGAGACCCCAAGGGAAATGCCTTAATCAGTGAGCACTGTTAATGATGCTTCCCTGCGTGTGTCACATGCCCAGCGAATGACATTCACATTTTTTTTTTACCGTATTCCTAAAGGCAATACAGTCCGCAAAGAGTACCAGACCTCTCCGGTGCCAAATCCAGCTACACAAACGGCTACCACAACCCCACCACAGACAACAGCAACAACAGAGCCTTTCACCACAACACCAAAACCAGCTACAACCCCTGTGACAAGCAGGACCACGACAGCTGCAGCTACAGCCAAGCCTCGACCCGCACTGCATAGAGTTAGAGACACAGGTCAGTAGCACAAGTTATGAAGCATCTTTTTATGTTCCTGAGGTTAGAGTTTTCCTAAAATTTAAGTTACAGGACATGAAGTTAAATATACCATTATTTAGTAGATTGTGAATATGTATTCAGCAATTCAGTGTAAAAATAGCAGATAAAGAAATTCATTCCAGCAGATGGGCTGGAGTTGCAGTATTGGCTTTGAGATGGATACAAAACTAGTGCATTTCTTATACACTCAGACAACCTGTGCAGATTCTCCAAGGTAAAAGAGGCTATATTTAACTTAGTTCATCTGCAATACACAATGCAATTACAGCTAGTCCTTATCTCTAGCTATAATACACTGTGGCATATAAACTGCTTCATGTGGGAGTAAATTCTTCATCCCCAAATGGTTTTGTTATTTTCAGATATAATAGTCAACAAATTCCTGTTACATACCTGGACTGAGCATTCTAAAAACAAATTGAGATTCTGTTGAGAATTAATTATGTGATAACTTCCAGCAAGTGAGAGTTTAATATAGGTTTTAATAACAACTCTTGAATCTGAAAGATCAAAACATCCTAAAGGATTACAATTTTTACACATCCAGGTTTCCTCAAAATATTTTTCTTCCTTTCACTTATTCTCATTCATTAACATTGCCTTTTTTTTTTTTTTTTTGCAATACCTGAACGATAAAATTTCTTGGTTTTAGGCTCTAGCAGTATCCACCCAGCATATTCATCTGTGGCAGCTGCAGCATCAAGTAAGTACAGTGAAGAAATATGTGCCACGAGATGTGGAGTACTGTGTATTTTAAGGCATCAGTGATTCAATAACAACCTTTAAAGCCTCAGCAAACCCCTTGCTTGCAGTCAAGGCTGTATATAAACCAGAAAATAGACACTTGGTCTGGTTGTCACAGCTACTAATCATCCAAGGCTTTGGAGAAGCCTATCTAGCAGATACCTGCACGTTTCAGCCTTGACAAATGCTAGGTTTGGCAACACCTGAGATGAAACCGGTGTTATTTCTGTCATATTTTCATAACGCTTCCTTCAATTTTGTTCTCTCAAAGATCTGAGTTAGCTGTAAGATACATAGTACAGATGGTTGCATAGCTATCTAAACTTAGAGCTGAGAGCTCTGAAATGCCGACTTAAATTAGACCAATGCTCTTTCGAAAACCTCAGGCTGTGGTTCTGAGCCTGGCACAAATGTGATGTTATTTCTGGCATCATATCTGTGTTATTGACATCAAAATCATGGCTGTTCGAAGCTCTTCATCCTGCTCCAGAAGCCTGCTTCCATTTTAGCCTGCAGGCTGCAATACAAATATTTAGAGGAGTTTTCCCATACAATGTGCAATTGCTCAGCTGTGCGGTCAAGTAAAGGGGAATAATTTCAGCTGTCACTGAGTGCTAGCATATCAATGCTTCCAAATAAAAAGGGTGGCCAGTCATTAAGTTTTATGTTCTATCACTAATTCTGAAAGCCTTGAGAACAGTTCTGCTCTCACAAACATGTCTAGACCCATCCATGTAGCCTAAAAAAGAACCAAAGCACATGGCATGTATCTTCTGGCCAATTCAGCTGCAAATCCAGAGCTCTCCTACTTCACTATGTCTAACTGGAAAGCACAGGGAGAAAGAAAGAGACTGAGATGAAAGGCAGCCCTTGGGAGGCTCCATGTGCTCCTGCTGCCTTCCAGGACACGGGCAGATGCTGGTGCCAAAGGGCAATGTGCAGCTATGTGTGTGACAGGATTTTCTGAAGTGCCAACACAAGGCAGTGAGGTTCAGATTCACTGCTAACCTGGATCATCTAGTGTCCCTATAAACCTGGTCCAGGTTGTTGCTTTCATTTCCTTTTCATCTTCCTGCAGGTTGAGAACAAGTGAGGCTTTTACTGTTTCTACTGATAATTAAAAATACCTATTTGAGGTTCCCCAGTCAGTAAGAGATTCAAGCTAAGAGTGAAGTTCTGGCAGCTTTGAAGTCAGCTTGAAGGTTGCGTATCTTTAGTAACACCAAAGTTTTAGCCTCCTTCCCAGAAGATAAAATTTTAAAATAATAATAATAAATATAAAGCCTCTCACTTTTGCAAATCTTTCTAAAGCCACCTCACTACAATTTGCATGCACATTTCTTCCCAGTGCTCTTTACTAAGGCTATAATGTAAATGAAACCCTAAAGGATAAAAGATGTCAGATTTAGGACAGCTAATTGTGAGCTAGAGGAGCAGTGGGTACTCCTGATTTTATGAATTCTATTTTTAGTATCGTGTCTAGCATGTCTATACTTGCTATTTGGCTTCCTGACTTCTCCTGAGGTCTTCTTGGTTATTGAGAGGAAAACTAGCTAAAATCCACAGAAATCATGGTATATTTCTGAACTGATGACCACACATGAGGCAGTATCATCAGCTTTTTCTGCCTGAGGAGCCTTTAGCGCTCACTCCTATTATTCAGCTCAGAGCTTCTGATGCTGCCCCTGTCTCTAGCACAGTTCAGCTCAACACGACTCTAAAAACATCAGAGAAACCTTGCAGGGAGAATCAAATGTCTCATCTACCTTGACTCACGGGGGCTCACAGACCTGCCTTGCACTATATTGCTAATTTGCCTGCAAAAGACAYCTCAAAAATGTCTTCATTAAAAAAATGAACAGGAAATAGAGCATAGGCAGAATGAGCACTGCTACAGCTGCTGTTAGCAAAGGTGTTTCCATTTCCAGTCACTTGCTTGCTGCTCTTCCCCTTAAGTTAAGCCTSATCCGAGGGTGCTAAGCAGGTTCCCCTGCTGCCCCACGCGTGCAGTAGCTGCTCCCCTGTTCGCACCAGCACCCAGCTCTTGCAAGGTCCGCTCCAAACTGCATTCCTCTTTGTTGCTCCATCCRCTGGATGACCCATCTTTTCCTGCCTCCCCTCTCACTGCAGGACTAGCTCCCAACCAGAGGCTGAGATCAGTTTCTAGCCACAGATCTGAACAGTTCTCCAGTGTATTTGTGTGTTGTTGACCCTAAACCCTGATTAGTTCTCTGTTCTGCCTGGCCATATTTCATCAGAGCCCTACAGAGCTGCTCTCAGTTTTACATTGCACATTAATTCCTTACTTTCTTAGTTGCTCATTATTTACACCCCTTCTCACAGTTCACAGCATCCATCTGAAGCGGGACCTCTCTGATCTGGGTATTTAAAGCGTTTCTCTGCTCCACTGCTTTAGTTTCTGACCCAGTTCTCAGGCTTCACTCAGTGTCTGCCCATCTTCACAAGTCTAAAGAGACATTCGTTCCCTTTAGGCTCTTCAGCACACACACAGATCTCCACAGTGGAAAACACAGACTGCACAAATCCCTACAACACTGCGGCTTAAACAGATATTTCACTGCAGAATCTGAAAAAAACACATTTGCTAACTGAGGGTCATCAGGAGAAGAAGCTGTCTCTTAGAATAGCTCCTAGGAATCCCGCCAAAGGACATCCAGTGGCCTGGAGATATTCCAGTTTGGGTCCACTAAGAAATATATTATAAAATAATTTTGTTTTATTAAATTACTTATTAGAATTAAAATTATATATATTTTATATAAAATATGTATTTTAAACTAATATTTAGTATATATAAATAAAAATAATATTTTGTATATTTGCTGTCATTTGCTGCAATATGAGCAGTTCCTATTTTCTGAGCTAACTATACAACATAGTCTTATTTATGATATCTTACTGATAAAAATGTCTCATGAGCCTTGCTCCAGTGTTCACCAAAGTCACCTAAAATATTCCCATTGATTTCAGCAAGCTTTGAAATGAWTTGGGAAACTTAATGAACTGAGGCTTGTTGAAGAATAAGTTCATTAACAAGCTTCTTAAGAGTAAGTAATGAAACAAAAGGCATGACTAAAGACATAACTTCCAATTACAAAGCCTTTTTGGCTGTAAGCTGGTTTCAGTCAGGTTTGGTATTTCCCACCTCCCACAGCCAGCACAATTGATTGTTATTGAAATATAAATAAAAATAGATAWTAAATTTCTAAYGGGAAACAAATCACAGCAATACAAAACAAATCAAGCMAAGCGTTTTTAATGTAGACTAGAGTCCTATTCAAGTAATATTCACTTGAATTGGACTGAATTCATTTGAATGGAATTCACTTTGAATTGAATTCACTTGAATGGAATATTCACTTGAATTGAACATTATCCCAGTAAATCCCAGGTAACAGTAGCTTTGAAGCAAACATGGTGTAAATTACTGTTTTCCACTCTGATGTCTTCTCAGGACAGATTCAGGCTGCACAAGGGAGAGGACAGAATACAGGTAAGTTTTAAATTAATAAAAATTAATAGGTTTTTATCACTGGAGTATTAGAAAACATGATGTTTACGTTCCATATACTAACCAATATGATGTTTTCAAAGCATTTAGGGGCTCTTCCATCTCCTCAAGTAACAGGAATGTTTTACGACCCAGCACAGGTAAAGTCATTTAAAATCTCTTCTCTAATTTCTTCCTGGAGCTAGTTCCACCACATCTACTGAGACATGTAGTGATGTGTTTCCACTCCTAATCACATTCTTAGCAGGATGCAACATGAGCAGGCATCACTTTGGTTAGTGTATGATATTAGTATGACTTCTAGAAAAAAAAATGGAGTAATGCAGCTTATAATTCTTCTTAAACTAGAATTCTAATCTCTATTATAGAGATCTTTATAACATTTCCTGCTGCAAAACAGCAAGAGAAATTTGAGTATTTGCAAGTTTGGGACCACTGGCCTGATCCTTAGCTGAGTGTTTTCAGTTTCCATGGAATGAGCTTGCTGGACATCTTTCAGGACCAATGTTGTGTTGCAATGCTCAGGCCAATAGCTGCCCTGTGCAGATAACATTTAAATGCTATTCTTCTTTTGTCTCCCTTTTCTGCTTTTAAATACATTTTTTTTCAATATATTGTTGCCATCTTCTTTTTCCATTTGTTTTGAAAACATGTATAGAAAGGCAGTTTGTGGCCACTGTGTGCCTTGCTGTGGAGCTTGCTTCTCGCAGCCAGCTGCTGTCTAACCTCTAACCTCTCTGTCAAACCACACAGGGGTTCAGCGCCAAGAGCCCATTGCAGCCTTCCGGAAACCTGCTGGATCTCCAGCCCATCTGGGTGAGTAGGACTTGCAGGAGCAATTTTTCCGCTCTCTTTCGTAGTTTCAGTAATCCCAAGTAAACCCGCAGGCAGTATTTCAGATTGTTTTCATGCACGTGCTGCATGCTAACGAGCAGCCTCCTGAATTTGAAAGCAAAGGACGAGCTCAGTCACTGGTGAACTGTTGTTTTGGGCCGTGGGAATGAACATCTACCACAGTGTGTGCAATTTGTCTTTCTTGTTAGTCCAAATGTGCAACAAGAGCAAAAAAATCAGCTCTCTGTAGCCTATCATCATGTCTATGAGCAAGATAATTTTTTCTCTCTTTCTGCTGTTCCCAGAAGCTTCCAAGCTGATCGCAGCCATGGCAATTGCCTTTGATACCGAGGGTAGAAACATCATCTATACTTTCCTCAAGGTCTGAGCTTAAAAGCTGCTCCTTGACTGCAGGGAGGTTTCTCATGGTTCAGATATTTTGTCAAATCCTGATCCAAGGCTCTACTGTGTTGGAGTTGCCCTTGAAATCAGGCAAAGCCTCAGTCTGCTCGGTGTCCTGGCAGCTTTGCTGAGGGCTAGAAAGTGCACGGCAGGGATACTGCACAAGGAGAGAGCAATATAGCCATAGACATGAAGGCCAGAGTCCATCCTTAGGTATATCTGGGGAGGAAGGTCTGGGGACTCATCATCTGGAGAGCAGGTCTGTCAAGAGGGACCTGGGCATCATGGTGGGTGACAAGTTTAGTTCTTCATGGCCAAGAAGGCCAATGGGATCCTGGGGTGCATTAAGAAGAGYGTCTCCAGCAGGTCAAGGGAGGTGATCATCCCCCTCTACTCAGTTCTGGTGAGGCCACATCTGGAGCATTGTGTCCAGTTCTGGGTACAAGAGGGATGTGGAGCTGCTGGAGAGAGTCCAGCGCAGGGCTACCAGGATGATCAGGGGCCTGGAATATCTGCCCTATGAGCAAAGGCTGAGGGAGCTGGGTCTGTTCAGCCTGGAGAAGAGAAGGCTGAGGGGGGACCTGATCAGCATGTATAAATACCTCAAGGGAGGCAGTGAGGAGGAGGGAGCAGCCTCTTTCCAGTGGTGGTCAGTGACAGGACTAGAGGAAACGGCCACAAGCTGAGGCACCAAAAGTTCCACAGGAACTTAAGGAAACATTTCTTGACAATGAGGGTGMCAGAGCCCTGGCACAGGTTGCCAGGGAGGTTGTGGAGTCTCCTTCTTTGGAGATCTTTAAAACCCGCTTGGATGCAGCCCTGTGCCACGTGCTCTAGGTGACCCTGCTGGAGCAGGGGGGTTGGACTAGATGACCTCTGAGGTCCCTTCCAACCTTAAGCATTCTATGGTTCTATAATCTTATACATAAGTCCATGTATGTCTTCCTGGGTAATACAGGCTGAGTAAGTTTAACGGCTCAATCAAAACAACATTTTGTAGTTGACCTAGTTGAAGTGCATTTAAAATAGGTACCCACTCCTCCTCCAGAGATTCTCTTTTTCCCTTCACTTTTCCTCCACTCCTCCTTGCTTCTGTCAGTCTTCCCTTTCTTCTTCATCTTCTTTATGCTACTTGTGTTCTTTTTGCCACACTGATGTCAAAGCTATTCCCTTTTCCTGCTGTGCATTTTTTTGGTTGATTGGTTCTGCTTTTTTTTGCTCTCCCTCGATTCCCTTTGCCCTTGTCAAAATCCAATGCTCACCTCCAGAGGAGAGACAGATGGATAATAGTTGCCTGTACAGAGGAGTAGGGCAAATAGGCTGCCTGTAAATGTGCCACTCACAGCAATGTGCTAAATATGTGACACCCTACACAGGAGTACAACAGCCCAAGGTGGCAGATCTGCATGGCTGGCAGGATTGAAATAGAAGAGTCTTGTGATGTGGACCAAAGGATGCTAAAGGAGGCCATGCCTCAATCTATCAGAACCTGTGCTCTCAAGGCAGCACGAAACACTGCTCAGGCTTGTGTAACGCAAAGCCAGCATTTAATTCTGCCAAATATACTGGCTTAAAACACCTCAAGATTCCCCCAAGGTGATTACAAAATATAAACCTCATGAATGGCTCTCTCTCCTCAATCACAGAAGAAGGAAAATCCCCACAGACACATACTTGCCATGTTCCCAACAAGTCCAGATCTTTTTTTCAGCCCAGGCTCTGGCAGCTCAGATGTGTTTCTTCCAAGCAGCCAGCTTCTCTAATGATCAAAGAGAAATTCCTGGTCAACTCTTTGCTTTCTTGGAAAGGAGGGCTGTTTTTCTTGACCCTACCAAGTGAACACACACTTTTCACCACAATGATCAGTTCTACAGGCTTGGCCAGGCTCTTGAGGAACTTCCTGTCATCAGCTCCGGTTAGGAAAAAGGTGTGCTGGAAAAACACCCATCTCAACACATCATTTGCTTGCTCTGTTTCTTGCTACACATTCTTAAGAACATCCCAACTCTTCCAGGATCTTGACAATGTACATCAAATTTCTTGAAATCCCTTAGTTGCTCAAGTGTTTTTAAAGACAATTATACTCATAAGGGTTTTGTTTTGTTTTTAAGACAGTCTTGTAATATTTTTAAAATCAATCTTTGATTCTTTATGAGCATGACCAAGTAAAAAGTAATCCTGAGTTATTTATGGATCACTTAGAAGGCAGTATGTTCTCTATATTTTCAGACAGCTACTGAAAAGCTTTGGCACCTACAGCTTAACTAGTATTCATTTCTTCTTTAAGGAGAAAAACATAAAGGTCATCTCACAATACGAAGTTTTAAAGGAGATAACCCATGCAAGACTTCTCAAAGAAGCAATAGATAGCAGTCATCTGCAGGGCTTAGGAAGGATTAGAGTACTGGTTATTAGCTGAGTAAAAGTACTTTTTGAGAAAAGTAGATCTAGAGAAACTTCAGCAGTGCTCCTATTGACCAAAAGCAGTCTTTGAATGCAGTTATTGAAAAACATCTTTCTTCCTTGAGCTTAAACARTCTAGGAAAGTCAAAAGACCCATGCGTCGGTCACACAGGCTAGTACCACAGACTGAGAATAGTCCTTGCCAGTGAGGTGGCAGCAGAAGCAAATCTGCGTTAAGTGGAAAAGGTGGGTTCCCTTGGTCTCAGTACTTCAGTTCATGCCCCTCACTTGATTCATCACTGTTTTCTCAGGAAAAAACATTTGCTCTGCCGAGTCATGAAAGTCTGGTAAATAACCCTGTGCAGGTGGATGATAAGCTAGGAATTCTCCTCCTGTCTTTCCTTCTGTTTCCTACTTAATTAGTCAGTCCTGCCCTCCCCTCAAGATACCTGTCCCCCACTGAGATGCATGATGCTGAACTCGAGTCCGGCTCTCAAAGGCAGTACAGAGAAAGGCCCGAGGAACAAGGGTTGTGTGCATAAGGTTTGAAGTTATGTCCTGAAACGCCCCMAAAAAAAAAAATCGAAGAAAGTGTATTGTGAGCTTCCAACGAGAACACTGGTGTGGGGAGAATGGATGAAAAAGGGAGAATGGATGGAAAAAACTGTGTTTTTCAGCATTATCAATGCAGGCCAGGTAGGCTATGGTACACTTGGAGGAGGACGGTGAGGCTGCTGATCTCACCAGTGCTCTTAGTCTTGTCACTATCTCAGTCGGCTCCAAGCGCTTCATCTGGCTGCCGTCCAGAACAAAACTTTCCTGTACTGTTCACCAGTCTCCAAACCTAGGAACACCTTGGGATTTGCTTATGAAAATAGCAATTTTGATAGAGTTTTTCATGCCTAATAGGTTGTAGACAAGATTTAGATAAATTTGTGTTTGGATGGGTGGAGGTGACAGCAGCTCGTAGAAGAAAGGTACTTCCAGAATTTCACTGAGACACAATGTATGTCTAGTGTGTATATTTGTGTAGGTATATGTATATACATGGGTTTAGATATATATGAGTGTATGTGTATATATTTGTATACTATAGTTAGAATACTTGCATCAAGATCAATGCATTTAAAACAACATTGAAACTGATCTATAGAGGCATATTTAAAATCATTAAAAAATTAGTGTTTTGGAGGCAGTGATAAAAGACTCTTAAATATGGCTTAAAATGTGTCCATGAAGATTTCCAGTTTTACTGATTTCCTTAGCTCATAGTTATCAGCGATGATTCATTGTACAAATTGACCTTTCTAACCTGAGCCAAGAGCTCTGTAGCCTTCAGTAACTGCATTATTATTTTCAGTAATAATTCTTCTTTTTTTTCATGTGTGAAAGCAATGGAAACAGACTTGTGGAAACCTGGATTAAGCCTTTTTGATACAGGTAAATATTGAAATCATTCTGTAACTGCTCTGGGAATAATTGGTTTCCAACACACATGGGGAAAGCTAAAGCTATTATTAATCAGCCCCACGACACTGTTGATAACAATCTCATTTTAAAGACTAATTATACTATTTGAAGTGACAAATGAAGTACACATTTTACATCTCAGTAGTTAAAATTATTCTGTGCTTGCATCAGTCTCGAGTGGTGCGTCAAGCAGGAACAGAACAGATGAGCTCTGGAAAGAGTTGGCAGCTCTACTGAAAAAAAAAGTGAATTCTAACTACCAAAACCCATTTTTAAGTTGCAAAGGTGAATTTGGGGAATGCCACAGTTCAGAGAGCATTCTAGAGATGCAAGCAGCAAGGAAGATGAATTATTCTGAGGGTCAATGGATGTAAGAAGGAAGATTCAGATAAGAAAAGGAGAATTTAAAGTAAACATAAAGAAAAATAAACATTATTGAACATTTCTAATGTTTTAGAACATTAAAACTCAAAACCAGAGAATATGGAGATGCCAAAGTGTTATAATTACTGATGTATTAAAAAAAAAAAAAATCCTACATTTGTAGGAGACCCCGGTAGCAACAGAAGGGGACTTCAACAACCCTYAGTCAGGAATAGTTACCAGCAGTTTCTACATGCCTTGTGTCTAGGGGCTCTTTTCCTCAGAAATATTTTAAAGCAGACGATATGAAGCAGAGGGCAGTTCACTACAGGCTGGAACCTCTCTCTCACAAGGGACTCGGTCTGCGGGGTACGATGTCCTTTCCATTGCACGTTCTGCTGCTGAAGGAAAACTGTGCTGTGCTGGTGGTCCTGACTTCAAGCTGAAGCATGACCAAAAGCTGAAGCACTGGCATCAGTTTGAAAACCTAGTATCAGCAGCAATGACTATTTGGTCCAAATTTGCATCATCCTAAATATGAACAGATTTCCCTTCTGCAGAGGTTGTAAGCTGAGGCAGAGGGAGAAATCRTTTCTAGTCAATGCAGCTAAAGCTGTTAGTGCATTTATCCTGAAAAAAAAGCTACAGCACTGGGGCCAGGGATGCAGATGAGTATTTTGAGAGAGGAAAAAAACGACAGATCGCATTAAATGCAATGAGAGGCTGGGCACGGGGGAAGGGAAGTTGTATTAATAGTTCCTCTGTGAGCGATGCGTCTGCGCAGACTCGTGCTGAAGGCTGATGAATTCAGATTGTCACTTCAAAGGAAGAGTTTCTGGCATCCATGTAGCCACTGCTGTCTTCCTTAAATGAATGGGAGGTTTAATCAGCATGGACAGCTGTGACAGTCAGTGAAGGGGACTTTAATTAGCATGAAATGAGCTGCCCATACAGCGAACTGAGATTCCCATGCAGTAATAGCATTAAGTTGGACTGTCAGGACAGGGAGCGCCATGGAAAGCGACCACCTCCCCAATTAGTGGAGAAGCCAGTCTGGTGGCTGACCTTATTGTTAGAGTAAATGCACGTCAGCYGGCTGACCCACAGCCTTCGAGATCTGTTAATTGCACAGGCAAGAAAGAACGAAAAGTGCTGTGTTGCCTGGGCTCGGATTTTCCATACTGACAAACCGAATATCACCTCTTGCCTGGGTATGGAGTATGGATTTTACTGGATTCAGATGAATGTGTGAGGCAGTTAAGTATGAATTAGCTCCCCTRTATTATTTGGTTGCTAAAAATGAATGGAAAGTATTAATATCTGTTTTCACTACAGTGTTAAATCCACTTACTTAGTGTTCTGCACATACACGACGGCAAGTAGGCCCCTGTTACACATGCAGCACACAGGCTGCGAGAGGAAGTGTGGTCTTGATGTGTTAAGGAGGAGCTGTTATGCGCTCATGTAATTAGGAGCTAAACTGGAATATACACAGCCATGAGGGGAAACYACAGCGTGTCTCAGATTTAAAACAACTATAATCATCATCATCATTGTTTTTGATGCAAGCGTTTGACAAAAGCATTTATATATGGGTCCATATATACTCTTGCCTATATTGCTGTTTTGCACTCCTCTTGAATATGAGGAAGCCTCCATTTACATATCCTTGAGTGAGGTAACCAGCTCCAAAAGGAGAGACAAAGGGTCAGAAAAACAAAAGCACTTGCTGACTGGGCATTCATAGGGCGCTGACTGTTTGGATACCTTTTGCTGGCCTTTCTAGAAATGCCTTCACTGTTGGTTTATAGGAAGCTATCCTAGAAGATGCAAAAGGCAAGTTCCAAGGATATGGGCCACATCCTAAATTCATTTTCACACAGCTCCTCAGATCACAGTGAATTCAGCAGCCGCATGTGGCCCAGGAGCATCTGTGCCCGCATCTCCTCTTTGCTCGGGTTAGGTAGCACCTGCGTGAGCCCCAACTGAACGTTTCATTTATCTCTCTAGGCTTCAATTCAAAAGAAGAGCTGCAAACGAAACCGCTGGAGTCAAGATCCCAGGGGAACCCAAGTATGTATTATCAGAATTAATTTCATAATTAATCATCTTATTCATTACACGTTCCTGGAATSTTTTGAAATTAATTAACTAAAGATTAAGTTATTAAGGAGCCTGAGTAACTTTTGCCTTCACGGAGGAATATCAAGTGTTCTCCACTGATCTTTCCCATACACATAATCAGTTTTTTCTTCTGCAAGGAAGGAAATACATCCCAAATTTGGCATCCTTGGACAGCAAGATGGTGGCTACCGACCATTACCTTGTCTGGTGCTCTATCGTTTCTACATTCCCACAGCATAGATTTTCCATACAGGAGTATCAAAGAGAGTGTGTGCTTCATCTACCACTTAGAAGTTCTGGGTTTTTTTTTTCCAAAAAAAATGTCAAATAGACCTAAAATGAATATAGAGATAAGGGCGGGCAGGAGAAAGGGAGAAGAATCTGCTATACAGATTCACTGATTCACTCTCATTAAAGGAAAATTTAGTGGTTTAGCAGAGATCTGAGCAATCACACAGTTGCAACTGAACAGAAGTAGGATGCGCCAGTCCTGTCCATTTGATACCTCTAGGACCATAAGCTAGAATTCAGGTCTCCTACAGATCAGAAAATATTTAGCTTCCTGCAGAACATATCTAGCACATGATCTTTCAAAGCCCTGCTAACGTGCAATCACTGAAACACTCCAGTTGCATGAATTATCCTTAGAAATTACATTTGTATGTAACTTTGAGAAGGCATGTGAGTCTTTCCTTGCTTGATCCCAGCTGGCTAAGGAACTTCCACTTTACATATACACATCACATGAAAGAATTGCCCTCTTAAGGAAAGGAAATTGAGGAGAGTTTGGCACTTAATTGAGTTATTATTTGTTGTGGGTTCCTGGCCTTGCCTCATGATCTACTGTGAAAGAACACAGTTCTGGGTCATGCTTTCATAATTCAGCATTATTAAAATTAGAAAAACAGACAGCCGCAGGAGGAAAGATAGGAAAGTAATGAGAGGGGAGGCAGTTGCATAAGGCAGCAAGAACAATCAGTGCTTTGTAGCCCTTGGGCTATCTAATGATCAAAACAGGCTSTTTTGGACTGTCTGATTGGGAGGAAGTAACACGAGGGAAAAATCAAGAGATGGAAGGTCTCAAGTGCCCCTGGGAAGAGTTTCTGGCCCACAGCTTCACTAAGATCCAGCTTGGGCATCAATGTGGGAGGGCGCTTTGTAGCATGGAAGAAAACCTGAGCAAGCCTTGAACCTGCCAGTGAGCAGGACACGCTTTTGTCCTTGCGGAGGCTTTTTAGTGGAGCCTGCATAGCAGGACAGGCTGCTGGAGGAGGATGTTTCTAGACTTTTGATCCTTGCAAGAAGAAAAGCTGTCAGAAAGGAACAAAAACTCTTGCTGTGTTTGTGTGTTCTCATCTCAGACTGCAAAGTCGATTTGTCTTTCTTGATCGATGGGAGCTGGAGCATCGGTAAGCGCCGCTTTCAGATCCAGAAACGTTTCCTCAGCAACGTGGCTGATGCCCTCGACGTTGGCAGTGCTGGTCCTCTGATGGGCATCGTTCAGTACGGGTAAGAACTTCCTAATACCAGCACCACCTCCTTCCAGGTGGCAGGTTTCCAGGGAGGCCATAGCTGAGGGCAAGCCATCTGCCTTCTAACCTCTAGCACTGCCTAAAGTTGAGCATAATTTAAAATTACACCTGCCATGTTTTCTTTTATTTCAACACATGCTGATACTAGCCCAAAAACTAAGCACCCAAATGAAAGGTGGTCCTTAAGGGCTATAAACTCAGTTCTGTTCCACTAGTGCCATAGACAGCAGTTACTGAATTCAGAGGGGCTCCCTGCAGAAATAGCCTGCAAGATCTCACTACTGTGGCCTCGCTGGCTCATTCCCCACTCACATGTACAGCGTGGTGACCGTGTGATGTGAGTGCTGGCAGCTTGAATCAGGGCCTTCCACCAGGATGGAGTATGAGTGTGGGCCGTGTGGGAAGACTGGCTCTCCCCTTCCCTGGGAAATAAAACAGCAGTGTGCTAAAGTGAAGCATCCTCCCTTAACACCCACGGTCACACTCCCTGCTTCAACAAGTAGCTTATCCCAGCCTGCCACCCTCATGCAGCCCTCTCCATCTTATTGCATGGCCYGTGGAAGCAGCCAGATGTTATCCAGGGGGCTTCTGAAGGACGTGCTACTCCGACCCTGTGGGCTTCGCTGTGTAGCTATCACAGGATAGGTCACACTTCTCTTCACTCCTAGGAGCCAGAAACACYGGCAGGATCTACAGCTATTACAATATATGCAAAGCAACAAAATGACAACTGCTTTTRTTTCTTCTTTTGATCTGTTAGCAAYGACCCTTCCACAGAATTTAACCTGAAAACGTACACCAACTCMAAGGATATAAGGAACGCCATTGAGAAAATCCCACAGAAAGGCGGACTTTCCAACGTGGGTACGTGTGGGCTGCTTGCCTGCTCGCGGGAGGCTTCAGAGCCGCGGCTGGSGTGGCTCTGTGAGCACCTCGCGGGCGGCAGGGCCTGAGCGGCGCGGAGGGCTCCAGTGGCTCACACCGGGGCTCGGCGCCTCCGCAGCCATGTCAGGCAGGGCCCTGTGTRCCTGTCGTGAGGGAAGGAGTCACCTCCGTCCTCAGCAGCAGCTCCACCAGGGCCCTTGCCGCCTGCCACAGCGCGGCTCCGGTCACCACGGGGCAAGGAAGGGAGGCTCATGTGGCCACGAGGGTGCAGCAGGGTGGCAGAGTGACCTGTATCCCTAAAGGTGCCTCCRTATCCTGCTTGCACGCCTAGATAAACTGCCCTACTGCTCCTACCCACTGCCCAGAGCTCTGTCAGAGCTCCTCAGAGCACTGGCGCTTAAATCTTCCCTTTGCCTGGTGTTTTACAAGGAGGCTTTCCCTACCTCCAGAGACAGGATCACATAAGCTCTGCCCATCCTCCAACTCATCCTCCATCTCCCCTTCTCTTTCAGGAAGGGCACTTTCATTTGTCAACAAAAACTTCTTCTCGGACGCCAATGGGAACAGAGGCGGGGCACCAAACGTGGCAATAGTRATGGTGGACGGATGGCCCACCGACAAAGTGGAGGAGGCCTCCAGGCTGGCCCGAGAGTCAGGGATCAATATTTTCTTTGTCACTATTGAAGAAGCTGCTGAAAGTGAAAAGCAGAACGTTATTGAACCGGACTTTGTGGACAAGGTACTCGCAGGGCTGGGCTATGGCTGGAATTTGGGCTCCAACTCTGATTTTTCAAGCTCTTTCAAGCAGGGGTCACAGTCCTCACAGGAGATCCCCGTTTTCTTGATGCTCTTGATCCATTCTCAGGTGGATGAACAGGGTAACAAAAACAGACCATTAAAATCTATTTCATCTTGCAGAGGTGCTAGAGCTCTAGCAACAACAACATTCTTAAAGGCCTTCACAGATAAATTAACACTGATGGTGAGATTCACTGCTGAGAAACCTATTAGAGTAAAAAACACCAGCAGATCAGTACCAGGATATCCAGAATCTCTAAATCCACCCAAACCGCTCTGAGATGGCGAGTCAGAGAAAAAAAAAAAACAAAACAAAAACAAAACAAAAAAACCCTTCTTAAATCTAAGTTGAAGCATGATATGAACATTTTGCCAAGCTGAAATGGTACTGTGCTGGCTTTTGGGGTTTGCAGTGAGTTTTTTGTTTTGTTTTTAGGCTTACCATACGTAACTAAATTCTGTCACGACATTGTGCAGCAAAGAAAAGGCCAAACACGCTTTATATAGAGAAAGATATAGATAGCCAGATACACAGTTTGTAGAGAAATGTTMAAGGTGGAAGTGACTTCATTTTAATGTGTGGGCTTTTCTTTGTTGCTGTTAAGCTCAATGATGAGAAAGACCAAATCTTTGTTAGTTATGATTCACCACATTTTAAACATAAGGAGGTGGGTTGGACTAGATGATCTCTGGAGGTCCCTTCCTGCCTCAACCATTGTGGGATTCTGGGACAAATCACTAGGCATAATCCAGTGGTCACACTGAGGATTTTAATCAACTTTAAATGAAAGTGTACCATATTTGGGGAGTTTTAAGTATTTTGGCAGTGTTTTTGAATGTTGCTAAAGGGTATCTGGACAGCAATTCTGAGAGGAGCCCCCAAGACCAGACATATCCATGCCCAAGTTMCAAGAAACACCCATTCATGTGAATGTTGGGACACCGAATACAGGGATACCTCAATTCCTTAGCTACACTGGATAACTAACGTTTTATATTAGTGGCTGATCTGAAGCTATTAAGTTATGTCCTTCTGCTGTCACGAAACTCTTCAAAAAAAGGAGTGAAAAGCTGCAGCGTGCATCAAGGAGGAGAAGCCTTGAACTGAGCACTAGTGGCAGCTGCCCACTTGAACAGCACCTCAGGGCAAACTGGCACGAGGTTATGGAGGAACACATCGAGTGCCAGGCCAGCCTGGGTAGAGGAAGCAGGGCGGAAGAGATCTGGTATTTTTAGAAAACAGATTCCTGTGTGAGCCACGTTGCTCCACCATGAAACGCGTTTCCAGTGAGCTTCAGAGCTGCCCAGAGAGCTTCGCTCTCTCTCATCAGTGTTTCCTTGGCTTCAGTTCTTTTTATCAGGGTAAAGCTATGGCGAGACTCTATGAGCTCTGAGGAGCAAAACTAAGAGTATAGTATATACCAATATAGGAAAGCAAAGAGTGTTCAGTGGCTTCGTGCAGCTGCAACATAACATGAAAAAGCAGCAAAACAGAAGAAAACAAATGAGAGCAGGATGTGCCAAGATATCCAGCCTGATGGGAGCCCAGSTGGCTTGCAGCTGTGATACCTCATGTGAGCCAGGTAAAGGCACAGGGAAGACCTGTCTCACATGAAGTATAACAGCTGTAAGCTGGGGAGGAAGACAACAATGCCTAGTTCCTTCATCTCACAGGCCTATGCACAAGAAGTTGATAGAGAAGGCCTGGCTTAACAAAATATTCTCAGAGAAATTAGACGTTAGCARTTTAGAGGTACTAAAGCCAAGGTCAATTTGCTCTATCTGTCCCCAGCAGCTTGACTTCTTCCACTCACTTTTCTGTGCCACCCCTAATTCCCTACCAGTATTCAGTTATAACAAAACAAATCAATAAAATTCATTCTGCAAAGCAAGCAAAACTGGGAGACTTTATGGGCTAAAATTCCWTGTTTGGTTGGTCTTTTTTTGTTAATGCTTAGGAATATTTATTCCTAAGCCAGGAAGAACCCAACTTCAGCCCCAGGTTTCAGTTCAAGGTAGCAGGGCTTGCTGTTCCCATACTGAAAGGCTCCCAAAATGCCCGCCAGAGCCAAATTAACCCTCGTTCTGTGTTTTGGATGCCTTTCCCAGGAATTATATAGCTTATTTACAAAAGCWTGACAGGTGGCGAACCTCCCCATTGCATTTCTTTCCTTAGTATAACAACATCAGCTCCATCGCTCCATTCATAAACAAGCAGCAGGAAAGACTGGCCCTTCACACAAGTATCTGTGATGTTGCATTGACGTCACTTCTAAGGGAAGCAGCTGGTAACTGGAGGAGAGGCCACTTTGGACTCCAGCATCTTCCTTTCCAGGACCCAAACTTAGAGTCTAGCTAAAATCCTAGCTGAAACACACGCACAGCGTCTCCCCTGCCTTCCTTGTGGCTTTGTTTGCAGGCCGTATGCAGAACAAACGGCTTCTACTCCCTCAGCGTGCCCAGCTGGTTCAGCCTGCACAAGGCGGTGCAGCCCTTGGTGAAGCGGGTGTGCGACACGGACCGGCTGGCCTGCAGCAAGACGTGCCTCAACTCCGCTGACCTCGGCTTCGTCATCGACGGCTCCAGCAGCGTCGGCACCGGCAACTTCCGCACGGTGCTCCAGTTTGTGGCCAACGTCAGCAAGGAGTTCGAGATCTCGGACACGGACACGCGCGTCGGAGCTGTTCAGTACACCTAYGAGCAACGGCTGGAGTTCGCCTTCGACAGGTACAACTCCAAGCAGGAYGTGCTCAGTGCTATTAAGAGGATCAGTTACTGGAGCGGAGGCACCAGCACGGGGGCAGCCATCAGCTACGCCTTGGAGCAGCTCTTCAGCAAATCCAAGCCCAACAAAAGGAAGATCATGATTCTCATCACGGACGGCAGGTCCTATGACGAYGTCAGAGTGCCGGCCATGGCGGCTCATCAGAGTGGTAAGCTGGGCTCGTTGTTGCCTGCTCTCTACCTCAGCTTTCATCCCGCTCAGAGGATTTGAGTCTTCTGTGATTTGAACGAGAAGGATGAAACTTTAGGAAGGAAACACAGCAGCCTGCGGTGTRGTCTAGTCAGGCTCTGAGCAAGACCTGAATATGTAGTAACTTTAACTTAAGTATGTAATAACTTTAAGTTAACTTATTTAACTTAGATATGTAGTAACTTTAGTAACTTAAAGAAAAGTAAAAAAGCAAAAGAACCACCAATTACCTAGATTACATAGGTAATGAGCAATATGTATCTACTCCTAGGAGATCTTGGTGGATTCCTATTGCCTTASTAATACATGAAGCCTCCCTTGGCTCTCCAGTTAGGCTACTCATTCCTCTGCCTRCCCTACTGCAAGACATTCACACTGAACCTCTTACTCAGGAGYGTGTTGATTACTGCCACAGTTACAATTTCTCTATTATTTAAAACTTCATATTAGTGACAGAAATTAGCTCCAAAGAGCAGATTAGGCCTGTTGAAATTCGAAAATACCCCTTCTGTAGGGAGAGAGAGTGCTGCAATTCACTGCCCATGTTTTTGTATCCTGGTAGCTATACTTACGGTATCAGATGTAAGCAAACCAAGATTAACACAATGACTGCTTTTAGCTGCCCTCTAAACTCTGGATTTCTTTTCAGGAGTCATAGCTTATTCCATTGGAATTGCTTGGGCAGCCCATGATGAACTGGAAGCCATTGCAACAGATCCTGACAAGGAACATTCTTTCTTTGTGGATGAATTTGACCACCTCTACCAATTTGTTAATCAGCTCATTCAAAACATTTGCACAGAGTTTAATTCTCAGCCACGGAACTGACTGAATCAAGCAAAGCAGAGTCCTTGGGCGGAATGCTGAAGACACACAAAATGCTATAGGTGTAACGCCAGCTCCAAGTTCAAGAAATACTGGAATTGTTATTCTCCGGCACTTTCCAGTTAGCAAGGTTGATTGCAGCTCTTTCCCTATGCATGAAATTCTCCGTGTAGGCTGTTGATTTTTGTTTTCTTCTTGCAGGCTTCAGAAATTGATGGAGAGTTAGAAAAGTGGTAAGCTTTATGGAGGAGATGACTGGAGCTGCTTGAAAAGTTTCTTCCTGTATAGATAAACTACTGATTCCCACATTTAGGCACACAAAAGCTCCTTAAAATGAACCACCTCCTTCCTGAACTAGTGTCTGGCCTCAGCCCTGGTCTGCAGCATCTTTCAGAAGCAGAAAGCAGCTCCATGCTGTGGCAGAAGCAGCTCCATGTGAGACTGCCCATGCATGAGCTGCCCTCCAGGTCAGGACTGAAATTCCAGATTTTTTTTTTTTTTTGACTAAAATTTGAACACCTTCTTAAAAGAGGCCACTCTGCCCATAGCTGTCTTGCTAGCAAGTTAAGTTCCAGCTAGTGTAAATTCAAGAGCGGAGATTTATCTAGACCCACAGCCTGGAAAACAGGTGACAGGAAAGATTCAAGCTCACATGCCTATTATAGCTGTGGGGCCCTACAAACATCTATCAATCCCAATAAAGCCGCAGACCTACAAAGCAGCCAACACAGAAACTAGTAGCTTAGTCTTCCCTCTCCTACTTCCCACAGCCCTGCATTAAATTTGATTTTGGCAAGAAAACCTTTCCCCCTTGGCTCTCTCTTGCTCTGCTTTGTCAGGCAGCTCAAGGCCTGCAGTACAGGGGAAGACTTGCAAAGACAGAAGAGACTCTTGAGAAAAATCATGGGTTGAAGTTGCTGACAATCCACAAGTGCTTGMGAACCACTTCTCTGTCCTGACACAATGGCCCAGGTTGGTCAGATTGTAGCAGTCACTAACACAAAAAGAATTATTTAAGGGCCATTAGAAGGATTTTAAGAGGAAAGAATCATAATGTTTCGTACTGTTCACTGGGAAAAAGCAGGATTTATAGGATTTACAGACGCCCTCTTCAGAATTTGGAACTGGCTTCTCCTCTACAGATGGATTTCAAAATGCACCCTCCTGTGCTTGATTGTGCACCTGCCCTTTGCCTGTGATTATTCAAAACACCCCTCTGCTTCTACCATTGATGATTCTGTGCTAGGAGTGATTCATTAAGAGGGTCAAAGAAATCACACTTTAATTAGGCAGCAGCAGTTGCCAGTTATGTTTCCATACACTGTCATTTAAGAAAACATGTTCCYGAAGCAGAAGCTATGGAAGAGGAAAGAAGCTTCAGAGCCAGTGCAACGTGTGTGTTCACACACCTTCTGGCTCTCAAAGCAATCCTGCTTCAGGCTTGTTGACCCAGCAGGAAACTGAAATAAATTAAAGCTCAAATTTCACTTCTTATTCACAAATCTGGGCTTTGATAGACTTACACTTTAACAAATATCCATGACCAAAGGATGTTTAATATCTATTCACTTAAAAATGTTAATTGAAGTAAATGCCATCACAGGAGACTCCTTTCTGTCAACAAAATTAGCACAAGTTTTTGAATCTTTATGTTTGAAAATACGACTTGAGCAGTTTAGAAAGATCAGTGAAGTAAGCAAAAACCCAGCTAAAGAGCACGTGATTCTACAGGATCTCTGYAGTGGGCTGCCAGAAGCCAGGCTAGGATCCTCCCGAGAGAAACACAACCGGAGGAAGCAACAGTTTCACCTGGGAAGATTTGGAGCTTCCCCGTTCAGAAGGGGTCCATTCCAGTTTAACTGAACACCTAAAACAAAGCAATGCTACCCACACAGAAGACATAGGTTACTGCTAGAGGAAAAGGAATAGGACACTAACACATATCAATAYGTACAATATGTACACATAAGGTTTTTCTTTTGTTTTTAACGTTGATTTATGCTGCAGCACTTCCACAGCAATAGCCTCATTGCTTGAAAAAATAAAGGACAGGCTATTATATAGGATCAGAACACGCCCAGTACTTCCCATCCCTGATYCTCAGCTCCGTTTCCTCAGCACTATCCTGCTGAAGGCGCCGCTCTCCTCTCACGAAGGCTGCTCTGGACAAAACTCATACTCACAAAGTAGATTTGCTGAGGACTCTAGCTCAGGTCTCAGCTTTCTTTGAAAATCTGCWTGCCTGGGGTGTTATTTACATCCACCTGAGAAAAGAGCCTACATTTTAACTCTTACTGCACTTGTTTTTAATGCAACAAGGTGTATATCTGTCACAGATTTGTCACCATATACTTAGCTCCATACTGAATATGCTCTCACAGCTCAAGCAAGATGCTCTTCAGAGATTCCCACTGTAGGACTTGTGCTCTGCACAGCACAGATGGCAGAGGCGTTAGGGACAGTTAAAGCCAGGTACATTCTTTAGGACAAGCATTTTAATTCCTTCCCAAAGCTCAAACTTCAAGCAACAATAGCAAGTTTTCAAATGCTACTCATAGAGAAGATGAACTGTTTGTTAGTCCTCCTCTGTCAGGCATTTATAAAACGCATTTCAAGGTTTGTTGTTGCTTAAATAGTTTATCTGGCCCTTATAGAGTGCTGATGGTACTTGCCCAATAATATGCATTTTTATTAAGTTCTCAAGGACACCGCAAGATTGTACAGTGTGAAAGTGGGAAAGCAGTTTAATAGACATTCTGTTCATAAACACTGTAAACTTAGGGATAAGTCTCAAAAGTTGCAAGAATACCCGTTTCCATTAACAGTAGCAAGCACATGGATGAAGGCAGAAGACACTCCTCTCAACCTTCACCTTTCATAGCAAGCAAAATACTGGCAAAATACAGGAAAGTCTCTAAAATAATATTTTTTATATAKGTATAAAAAGAATCAAGATAACTTACATTTAAATCTTCATAACAGTTGTGGGGCTGAAGGTGTTCGTTTGAAGAAAGCAGCAGAACTACCTTTGTTCATTATACAAGCTTTATGAGCTTCTCACAACACAAGTTGCTAAATCTTTTGCAATAAAAATGTCCCAAAAGGCATATGCAGTGAGTGTTGTCTCATACATCTGGTTACAAACAAACAGCAAATACGACMCACTGAATTTTAGTTTCCGAAATGCAGCTGGGATTCCTACTAGGTTTTGGATTGTGCTTCTTTTACATGTATTAACCAGGAGGGAAAAAATGGAAGAAAAAAGCCACTTATGTGGGAGCTAGTAAGGGAGGGACTGCCAAGTCACCTACCAGAGGAACCAGTCATTGAGGTAAAGGCTACTGGCCGAAAGGCATGAGACTTTTCTGCACCTCTCCTGGGGCTGCAAGTTCATATGAGTTTTGAACCAGACTTCTTTTGGGAGCTGCAAAAAACAGGTAGATCAGTCAATACAGGCCATCTACACTCTACTTGATGTGGAATTGAACCAAAAGAGGACTCGGATGCCCGATGCTTGAGCCTAGGCCATCTAGTTTCAGGTGCCTTGGCAATGCAGGTAGTGGCTATCGAGCACCCAGAGCGGGACTGGGTAGGCAGGGAGCAGCCACACTGGGCTCAACTGGGCACTGGGCTAAGAGCATCTTCTCTTTCCACATGTAAATCCAGCACTATTTACATTCTGGGTGAATAAGCTAAGCCCAGCTGAACTACCTCTTCACACAGAGGTGACTCCAAGCCTAGTTGCCTGACAGTGTCCATCATTCTTGCCTTTCCCTGCCCATTAGCAGCAGCTCCACTGCAAAAACGGCTGGAGCCAGTTCCATTTTCTTTTCCATTCTTATCTCAGTTTGTGGACGTCTTAGATAATACAAGGCAACCAACACTCACTAAATCATCTACACAGTGGAAACATTGCAAATGTATGTCTAACATAGCTGCATTTCAAATTCCCCATAAGAGCATTGGAGCCTTTTTTCCCCTCTGTTAAACATAGCAAGCCAATCCTGTGCGGGCATAACAGGTTTAGAAATATACCAGCTACATTGTTCACCTTCAATTGCCAGTCATAGTGAGTGGCAGGAGAAAGAGATATTTTCCTTTATACCAGGTTAGTCAAATAAGTCTGAGTTAGCAGTTTAACCAGCTCCGACAATCCCTCATGGAAATGGATTAGTTTTAAGCTCACACTCAAATGCTAGTTAGATGTTCCACCATACGGCCAAAGAGTACAGGCTCACTTTCCTCCCACAGGGACGTGTCTAGTTTACTGGTAGATCCTTAAGGAAGGGAAGGGCAGWTCCTTAAGGGAAGATGTCCTGTGTGAGCAGGTTACTCCTACACAGCTCAGTAAGAGCTTTCTGGCCGTATTTCAATAAGTTTTGTATTGACTCTCTTCAGAAGCAGAACATGGTACAGGTTACACCAGTTACTCCAAAAAATGTTAATTTGTAAAGTGACTCCTGTTTTCCCATGAGGAGGGGAGATGAGTAAATCACAGAATGGTTGAGGTTGGAAGGGACCTCTAGAGCTCATGTAGTCCAACCTCCCTGCTCCAGCAGGGATACCCAGAGCACAGGGCGGCATCCAGGTGGGTTTAGAAGATCTCCAGAGGAGGAGACTCCACAACCTCCCTGGGCAGTCTGTGCCAGGGCTCTATCACCTCAACACTGAAGAGGTTCTTCCTCATATGGAGATGGAACTTCCTGTGTTTTAATTTATATCCCATCCCTTACCCCTTGTCCTATCACTGGCCACCACAGAGAAGAGTTTGGCCACATCTTCTTTACATCTTCTCCCCTCAGATATTTATACATACTGATCAGATTCCCCTCAATTATCTCCTCTCCAGGCTAAGCAGGCCCAGCTTGCTTAGTCTATCCTCACACCATAGCCACTTCAGTCCCTTCATCATCTTCGCTGCTCAGAAGCCTTATTTTACCTCCCATGGAGAGCAGACGAGAACTTTACTCATCCCATCTACAAGCTCAGGAAAGCAACGTGGACAGGGTGCCTCACAGCTTGTTCCGTTCCACGCTGTGCAGGTTCCCATCGCAGCCCCACAGCAGGGCCGCTCCAAGCACCCTCCTGCGGCAGCGGCGCTGGCACCTGTGCAGYGCGCGCTGGGCGCTCCCTCCCGCCCCAACCCGGCACAACCGTGCCCTTATTTCTGCTTTAAATGACTGCCCTACCTAGGATGGGCACCGTGTTTCCCCGGGATCTACGCGCTGCTGATAGATCCGCTCCTGGGCCTTTGCTCGGGATGGAACYGAGCTGCAAACGCGCTTTGGGGATACCAGAGACCTCGTGTCTAGGTGCAGGGGAAGATGTAGGGCACCTGCAGTGCCAGGATGGCACAAGAGCAGAAAAACAAAACATATGGGGAGCAGAAAAGTGGAGACATATAATCCCTTGCACAGCTAGCCAGGACGTTCACACGAAGCTGCCTAGCCTCATGTCAGCTTGTGCTAGTTGGTGATTTCCCCCTCCTGGCCCACGCTCCACAACCACACATCTCTTGACAACAAACAAGCAGAATCAGGAAGGCAATACAAAATGTTGAAAAATAGTATTTATTAGCACCCAATTTACATAATTATATGGTACAAATGACACTTACTTGCTGCTGTAACATTAAATAAAGCTGCTCTTAGAAAACATTGCTTATTTCTGGAAGTCCATGTGATTTTGCTCAGCACAGATTGCGGGTACGGTATACAGCTATCCCACTTCACTACTGTCATACCAATACAAACACCTGCATGGTCACCTCAGTGCGGTCTCATTTGGAACTGCACACTAACACAAGCAGATCTATATAACTTCAATGACAAAGTATTTACTTGGCTTAACCAGGCAAGTGAATGTAACTTTAAGCTACCCAAGAAGTTTCACAAAACATGAATTGCAGGGAAAAATAGAAAATTCAGGGCTGCAATCGAGAAGCTCAAAAATATACTGGTGTATTTCAAAATAATCTCCCGCAGAATTCTCTATCTTTATCATTTTAGATATTTATCCAAGATTTCAAAATATTGAAGTTTAATATGAAGTTTGATATTAAATGCTTGATGCAGCATTTTCATTTAAAGCAAAAATTCGTGTTTTTTAATGATAAATGCTTATCAAATTTTTAGAGAACAAATCACTATTTCACTTCTCTCATTTTCCATGAGTAAAAAGCCTTTCTGGAGTCATGAGTTACATGAAATGTATGGATTCGTACTCCCAAGAGAACTATTTCCTTCACAAACTAGAAGCAGAATATCTCACTTAAGATAACATTCACTTTTACACCACAGTAGCATTGAAACAAGGTAATCTGGTGGCATTGTAATTCTGACACAACCCGGTACTGAACCATACACAAACTGACAAGCAGACTGTACTGATCAACAAGCAGATATTTCTCATTTGGATCCACCATTTTGCGAGACACTTGACGTCCAACATTATTTCAAAGCAGTCATTCAAACCGGCATGCAACACCCCAGCCCCAGCACAACTCCGCTGGGGAATCTTCATTCCCTCTAGCTGCTTAAGGAAGGGTTTACGGATCGGTAACAGGAGCCTTTTCCTATCAGCTAGCTGTCATGGAAGTGGCCCAAAAAAAGAAGGGGAGCAACTGTAATTACTAACATTGAAGTGGTTACAACCTATGAGGGGGAACTGTCAGGTAACTCCATACAATAGTTGTTTTTGCAGGAAAAAAAAAAAAAAAAAGTACAATACTTAAAAAAAAAAATGTCCAAACTGACGTTACGATGAAAAGCAAATCCAACAATTACTTCAGTTTTATTAACATTAGCTTGATAAGGCAAAGAAACTTGTGTGAAAACAGCTTTTTGGTTACCCGACAACTGTTTTTTAAAAGAAACAAAGTGAATATACCCATATGAAGCACAATGCAGGTAGCAGACACGCTCAGAAATGCCAACAGAAAATGTTACAGCAACAACAGTCTCATTATCACAGATCTTCTCCCACAAGTTTCTTCAGATGCATGATTCAAGGAAAATATAGCACAAAAAGTACTTTGCAGTCTGCTGGGCTGCAAAGGTACAAGAAATTAGTAACTAACACGCTCACTTTCCATTTCCAGAAAAAGAAAATGCTAACACATGGGACAGTCTTCAAAACCTGTGTATGCTTGTAATTGTCTGACTGCAAGGAAGCAACAACTTTAGGAGCCATACATTTGAAAACAAGCTACATTCAAAAACCGCTATCTTGATGAAAGGAGAATAAAAAAATAAATTCTTAATGGAAAAATATTAGCTTGAAGTCCATCATTTATCCCTTAAACAATGTTTTTGGCTGCTTTTAAGTTAAGTAATCCAAAATAATGAAAATATTTGGCTTGGTAACAAGTTATCCCTTCCCTTTTAGAAAAGTACAAACCCCAGCTGTATAAATCTTTTCTCAACCTGCCACTTCACTTTCTGGYACTAGGACCAAGGGGTTCTGGAAAGAGCAAGCAAGGAATTCCAGGGGTGAAGGAAGCAGGTAGGGCTGGAGGACCTCGTCCA